GCACCAGCTTCACCCTGGTGTCCCTTGGATTCTACCCGCCCGCACTGGCCAGCTCTGTGAGTGCCATTTGTTGGCTGCTGGTGTTGCTTTTTCCTGCTTCTTTAGATTTCTTCCTTACCTCTCACCACTTTCCCCTCCATTCTCTCAAATACCTGGCTCCGTGTGCCATCTTTGCTTCTTCCTGAAAGGCTGCGAAACACTGCTCGACTGTGAAACTGCTTCCTGGCCCGTGTCACCGTGCTGGTGGGACTCTCGACATTTGTTTGTTTGTTTGCTCTGATTTGTTCTGTTTTGATTTGTTTGTTTTCTTTTTCTTTTCTTGGCTTGGGAGCCCCTTCTAGCCGGGCAGTACCGTGTGGCTTGGAAGCTACTCACTTACTCTGCGCAGACACACAGGGACATCCCTGGGGACATTTCTTTTTTCTTTTGTTTTTGGGTTTTTTTCTTTGTTTTGTTTTCTTCTCTCTCTTATTCCCTTTTTGTCTTTCTTCATTTCCAGTCTCTCGATTTATTCATTTTTCTTTTGTCCTTTTTCTTTTCATTTTTATTTTTCCCCATTTCTCAGTCTCTCATCTCTCCACTCCAATAGCAAGTTCCCTTAGCAGTCTTTTTTTCTTTGTGTGTGTGTGTTTGGCTTCTGTTCCTCTCTCCTCTCTGTCATCTTTTCCATACCCATCTTAGCTCCACACATCATAATCTACCCCCTCCTTCCTGCCTACCTGCACTGTGCGCTGAACATCATACTCCCAAGCAGCACAGGCACTGCCTACTGGAACGTGCCCTACACTGATTCCTGGTCCACACTGTCAGCCCTGGTACGTGCCACAAACAACCCATCCCAGCAACCCCCCTTAAGCTGGACCTGCCCTGCTGTATCATACCTGAGTGACTGACCCTGCCTGTTGGAGAAGGAGGTGAAAAGTGTCGTGGCCACAGACGAGCAAACAACAAAGAATGCACAACCTGCCTGCTCAGACATAACCAAATAAAAAAGCAGGACAAAACAAATCTACAATCAGTAAACAAGAAAAATAACCACTGAATGCCCTGAAGACAGCAGATAATATCAAAACATTTACAAAAACAAGACAGGATGGTTCCAGTAGGTGTCCAAAATAAAACACCAGATGTCCTCCCAGTAGAGGAAGAGTCACTAGACCTAACTGATAGGGAGTTCAAATCTCTGATATTCAGAATTATCCAAGAGTTGAAGCAAAAAGCAGACAAAAATGAGGAAAAAATAGACAAATTCATGGAAAATACAGAC